AACACACCTAGTGCAAAAAAGAAGCCCATAGACTGAAAATGAAAGGATGGAAAACAATTCTCCATGTGTCAGGAGCCCAGAAAAAAGCAGGGGTAGCAATCTTACTCACAGACAAAGTAAATTTCAAACCAAAACCCACTAAGAGAGACAAAGAAGGCCACTACATCCTTGTAAAGGGAACAATTCAAGAGGAAGAGATGACAATCATAAACATATATGCACCAAATATAAATGCCCCCAACTATATAAAACAAATGTTAAGTAACAGGAAAAACCAAATAAGCACTAATACGATTGCAGTGGGGGATTTAAATACCCCACTATCACAAATTGACAGATCATCTAGGCAGAAAAATCAACAAGGAAATAATAGAACTGAACCAAGTTTTGGAACACATGGACTTAATAGATGTTTATAGAGTATTCCACCCCAAAAAATCAGAATATACATTCTTTTCGGCTGCACATGGGTCATTCTCCAAGATAGACCACATACTATCTCACAGAACAGGTCTGAATAAATGCAAAAAAAAGAACTGAAGTTATCCCCTGTATATTATCAGATCATAGTGCAATCAAGATGGAGATCAATAGCATAAGAAACTGTAGGAACTTCACAAGCACATGGAAATTGAACAACACTCTCCTGAACAATCACTGGATCACAGAGGAAATTAAAGAAGAAATTAGACAGTTTTTAAAGGTAAGTGAAAATGCCAATACAACATACAGGAATCTATGGGACACAATGAAAGCAGTTCTACGGGGAAAATTCATAGCACTGAATGCCCACACTAGGAAAACAGAGAGAGCTCAAATAAACAACCTAATGATGAATCTTAGACTCCTAGAAAAACAAGAGCAAGAAAAACCCAAAGCTAGAACAAGAGAGGAAATTATAAAGATTTGAGCAGAAATCAATGCAGTGGAAACTAAGAAAATGATACAAAAAAATAAATGAAAGAGTTGGTTTTTTGAAGAATAAATAAAATCGATAAACCCTTAGCTAATCTTATCAAAAAAAGGAAAGAAAAGGCTCAGATCCATGCAATCAGGAACCAAAAAGGTGAAGCCACAACAGATCCAGCAGAAATCCAGAGGATAATATCTACTTTGAGAACCTGTACTCTAATAAAATGGAACACAGAAAAAATGGACAGATTTTTAGATACTTATGAATTACCAAAGTTGAACAAAGAAGATAAAAACATTTTAAACACCCGAATTACAATCAGTGAAATTGAAAATGCAATTAAAAATTTACCAACAAAGAAAAGCCCAGGTCCTGATGGATTCACTGCTGAATTTTACAATACATTTAGAGAAGAACTACTGATGTTACTCTTCAAACTTTTCAATGAAATTGAAAGGGAAGCAATTCCTCCAAATTCATTCCTGGAAGCAAGTATCACTTTGATTCCCAAACCAGGGAAAGACGCAACTAAAAAATAGAACTACAGGCCAATCTCCTTAATGAACAGAGATGCAAAAATCCTTAATAAGATACTAGCAAACAGAATACAGAGGATCATCAAGAAGATCATACATCCTGACCAAGTCAGATTTATTCCAGGAATGTAAGGATGATTCAACATACATAAGTCAATGAATGTAATACAATATATTAACAAAGTCAAGGACAAAAACCATATGATCCTCTCAATAGATGCAGAAAAAGCATTTGACAAAATTCAACACCCATTCATGATAAAAACCCTGTGAAAAATTGGAATAGATGGTCTATATCTCAACTTAATAAAGGCTATCTATGAAAAACCTACAGCCAACATCGCATTAAATGGCCCAAAACTGAAAACCTTCACGTTAAAATCAGGAACAAGACAAGGATGCCCACTATCACCACTCCTCTTCGATATAGTTCTGGAAACATTAGCCACAGCAATTAGACAAGAGAAAGAAATTAAAGCAATAAACATAGGAAAGGAAGAAGTTAAACTGTCATTATTTGCTGATGATATGATACTCTACATTGAAGACCCCAAAATCTCCACCAAAAGACTTCTAGACTTAATTGACAGATTCAGTAGAGTAGCTGGATACAAGGTGAACACCCAAAAATCAATAGCCTTCTTATACACAAATAGCAGACTCACTGAGAGAGAAATAAGGGAAAAAATTCCTTTTACAATAGCATACAAAAAAATGAAGTATCTAGGAATCAATCTAACAAAAGAAGCAAAAGATCTCTACACTGAAAACTACAGCACTCTAAAAAAAGAAATTGAAAAGGATATAAAAAAATGGAAAGGTATCCCCTGCTCCTGGGTAGGAAGAATCAACATAGTGAAAATGGCCATACTACCAAAACTGCTATACAGATTCAATGCAATGCCAATTGAAATTCCAACACTATATTTCACAGAACTAGAAAAAACAATCCAAAAATTCATTTGGAACCATAAGAGACCTAGAATAGCAAAGGCCATCCTAGGCAACAGACATATGGCAGCGAGTATAACAATTCCCAATTTGAAATTATACTACAAAGCCACTGTGATAAAAACGTTATGGTACTGGCAAAGAAACAGATCTGAGGATCAGTGGAACAGATTGGAAGACACAAAAATCCAGATGTACTCAGCTACCTCATCTTTGACAAAGGAGCTGACCATCCTCAGTGGAGGAAAGATAGCCTCTTCAATAAATGGTGTTGGAAAAATTGGATTTCAACCTGCCAAAGATTAAAACTGGACCCTTATCTTTCACCATGCATTAAATTGAAATCCAAGGGGATTAAAGATTTAAATATTAAAATAGAAACACTAAACTTGCTGGAAGATAAGTTAGGCAAAACTCTGGAAGACACTGGCACAGGAAAAGACTTTATGAATAAATCCTCAGTAGAACGGGAACTAGCAGAAAGAACAACTGGGATCTCATCTTATTAAAAAGCTTCTGCACTGCAAAAGAAACCATCAACAGAACTAAGAGACAACCTACAATGTGGGAAAATATTTTTACCAGCTGTTCCTCAGACAAAGGACTATTATCTAGAGTATATAAAGAACTCAAAACAATCAGCCCCCCCAAATATAAAGACCCGATTCAAAAATGGGCATCTGGAATGAACAGACATTTCTCAAAGAAGTAAAAGCAGCAAGTAAATATATGAAAAAATGTTCCACATCACTGCTCATTCAAGAGATGCAGATGAAAACAACACTGAGATTCCACCTCACCCCACAAAGAATGGCTGCTATCAAGAAATCACACAATAACAAATGTTGGCAGGGTTGTGGGGAGAAAGGAACCCTTCTCCATTGTTGGTGGGAGTGCAGACTGGTGCAACCACTATGGAAATCAATATGGAGATACCTCAAAGACCTGGGACAAGAGGTTCCATTTGACCCCACCATCCCTCTGTTGGGTATCTTTCCAAAAGAACTAAAAGTATCATATCACAGTGATGCATGTGCACCCATGTTTACAGCAGCACAGTTTGTAATAGCTAAAACTTGGAAACAGCCCATTTGCCCATCTGTTGGAAACTAGATAAAGAAGATATGGTTTTTTTATAAAATGGAATATTACTCAGCCATAAAGAATGAGAAAAATAGATTCATTCACAGGAAAATGGATACATATTGAGGATATACTCCTAAGTGAAATAAATAAGGCACACATGTAAATACCGAAGTTTCTCTGGTGTGAATAAGCTGTAATAGTACATAAGATCCTAATGAGATTACTGACATTGTGAAATGGGAAGAAAGGAGCTAAAGGTGTAGTACTCAGCCATAAAGAATGAGAAAAATAGATTCATTCACAGGAAAATGGATACATATTGAGGATATACTCCTAAGTGAAATAAATAAGGCACACATGTAAATACCGAAGTTTCTCTGGTGTGAATAAGCTGTAATAGTACATAAGATCCTAATGAGATTACTGACATTGTGAAATGGGAAGAAAGGAGCTAAAGGTGTAGGGAAGGTGGGATGGGGGGAGGAGA